AACTCTTAGAGTATTATGCTTAGGGGTGACTGTGTATTTAATCCAAAAAGACAGTTTTAGAATTGAATAGATGGTTGAGCCCACAAACCCCACATCTCAGAGGCTAACGGATTCTTCTCAACACAGGCGGTGAGACCCTGGTCATTGGAGTGGCGAGGCTGGTGAACTATACGGATTTGGATGTGGAAGTCCACATCCAGGATGCCTTGGCTCTGGTTCACACACAGTCAGCATGGGGCCTGGAGGTGGCACTGCCTGCACTGCCAGCTGGCCTCCACAGAATTTCTGTCTCTATCAATGGGATCAGCATTCACTCACAAGGGTGAGGTGGCCACTTGCGTTAATTTTAGGTTTGTTTGATGGTCTAGCATTCAGCTAGGTCATTCTAGTTTTGAGTTAGGTATTTTCTTTTTCCCTCGGAAGTTAGGGGTTAAAGACATGAACATCGTAACATTGGAACACATCTTAGAGACCTTATACAGACAGTTTGCTCTTCTCCTCAAAATACATATGGCTCTTCTGGCTTACTCTTTCTTATCTCCCTCTGTCAGTTATTTCCTTACCATCTCCCTATCTTCTGTAGGGTTGATCTCCACATCCAGTACCTCACAGAAGTTTTCAGCATCGAGCCTTGCTGTGGGTCCCTGCTGGGTGAGTGGCTCGTATGTGACTGTTATCAATTATCCAGCAATTCTATTTGCTGGATATTCAGACTTTGTTTCTGGATTAATTTGCCAGTGAGGTCAGAGAGAGGGGAAACAGGAGAGAAACTTTCCTCAGGCTCCAGGAACTGAGGGGTGTTTTTAAAAGGGTGTTAAAACTTGGTGATTCATTTGCTCAGGAAATTAAAGAATTTTTATGATAAGGACATATGCCTGTGCCTGCTCCTCTTCTTCTCCTTCTCCTCCTCCTTTTCCTCCTTCTCCTCCTCCTCCTTCTCCTCCTCCTCCTTCTTCTTCTTCTTCTCCTTCTCCTCCTCCTTCTTCTCCTCCTCCTTCTCATTCTCCTCCTCCTCCTCCTTCTTCTTCTTCTCCTCCTCCTTCTCCTCCTTCTCCTCCTTCTCCCCCTTCTCCTCCTTCTCCTCCTTCTCCTCCTCCTTCTCCTCCTCCTCCTCCTCCTTCTCCTTCTCCTTCTTCTCCTCCTCCTCCTTCTTCTTCTTCCTCTTTCTTCTTCTTTCTTCTTCCTCTTCCTCTTCCTCTCCTCCACCTCAGTCTCCTTCTCCTTCTTCTTTTTTTTTGAGACAGAGTTTCACTCTTGTTGCCTAGTCTGAAGTGCAATGGTGCCGACTTGGCTCACTGCAGTGTCTGCCTCCCAGGTTCAAGTGATTCTCCAGTCTCAGCCTCCTAAGTAGCTGGGATTACAGGCAGCCATCATCATACCCGGCTAATTTTTGCATTTTCAGTAGAGACGGGGTTTCACCATGTTGGCCAGGCTGGTCTCGAACTCTTGACCTCAGGTGATCCACCTGCCTCAGCCTCCCAAAGTGCTGGGATTATAGGCATGAGCCACTGCGCCCGGCTGAGATGTGCCTGTTTTTCTAATGAAAAGAGGATGAAGCATCTGATGGGTGGCACTCTAGAGTGGATATGAGAAAAACAAGGGCAGCATGTCCTACAGTCGCCCTTTAGATGCTGTGCATGCAAGGAGGGGAGGATTGAATATGTGGGACTTCACTTTCCATGAGAGAGACAGATGAAGGACTCAGGAATAGAAACACACTTGCTGATATGGGAGATGGAAGAACAAGACAAATAGATCAATCACTAAAACTGTTTTCAGAAAGAATGGAAAGTGATCTAGTGACATGTCAATGATCATTGTGATCGTCTATAAGATAGCACATTATCCTTTTTCAGTGTAGTAAAATCCTCCTAAAAGCCACGTTGCACAGTTTGGTTATGCTGTGGGTCATGTTACTCCAATCCTGTCCTGAAGATGGGGTTTGATCTTTGGTGGCCTCTCTACTGGAGAGTAAGGCAAAGATTCTATGAAGGTAGCAGCAAATTTACCAGCACGATGCAATGACTTTTAATGTCTCTGCTGTATATGGAATATAGAATATATGGTACAATAAATAGAATACAATAGAATGTATAATATGTGGAATATTGGACTATTATATAGAACAATATAGAAGATAGAAGACTTCAGTGAATTTGATTTTTCATTAGCATATAAGTTGAATGTATACAGGACAATGTACAAATTATATATAGCATACAGGATAATATGTCCAATAATATAACATATGATAAGAAGATTAAGAAATTTGATTTTTCATTAGTGTATAAGTTGATTAAAGTGGTGCCTTCTAGGATATACAAAGGTACGTGAAAAGTTTTTGTTAAAGACATCCTTCCTATATAACAATTTGTATTATTTTACTGTTATGTGAATTTACCACATCTGACTCCTGTCTAATCACAAATTTAGCATTGGTGTGGGTGAGAAAAAATAATTGAGGTTTCACTAACACATGCCCTACCTTGCACTTAATTGCCCTAGGACTTGCACAGGTGCTGTGAGTTCTTAGTTAAGAATTTCAGCTGTAATATTTTGTTTTCCATATTCATACTTTAGGAGGGACCATCCTCAGCATCTCAGGAATAGGCTTCAGCAGGGACCCAGCTTTGGTTTGGGTACTTGTGGGCAATCGGTCCTGTGACATTGTGAACTTAACGGAGGCGAGCATCTGGTGTGAGACCCTGCCGGCCCCCCAGATACCCGATGCAGGCGCTCCCACTGTCCCAGCTGCCGTGGAGGTCTGGGCTGGCAACAGGTCCTTCGCCCATGGTCCTTCACCAAGCTTGGTGGGGAATGGCTTCACTTTCATGTATGAAGCAGCAGCAACACCAGTAGTCACTGCCATGCAAGGCGAAATCACAAACAGCAGCCTGAGCCTGCGTGTGGGAGGAAGTAACCTTTCCAACTCAGTCATCCTTCTGGGGAACCTGAACTGTGATGCTGAGACACAGTCCTTCCAGGGTAACTCAAGCCTGTCTGGATGCTCCGTCCCTCTTCACAGTCTGGAGGCCGGCATCTATCCTCTGCAAGTACGTCAGAAGCAGATGGGATTTGCTAACATGTCTGCGGTGCCCCAGCAATTTGCAGTGACGCCTCGGATAATGGCCATCTTCCCATCGCAGGGCTCGGCGTGTGGTGGGACCATACTCACTGTGAGGGGGTTGCTTCTTAA